CCAAAATGGGAAAGTTGGGAAGGGCAGTTGGTCTGGGTAAAAGATAGTAAGTTCAGTTCTGGATAGATTTGCTAAGTCTGAGATCAAAGCAGGGCAGCCCAGGTGAGAGTTCCATGGGAACATGAAGACATTAGACTGGAATTCAAGAAAAAGGTTTGCAACCACCTTCACAGAATGATAACAAATCAGGGGAGTAGATCTCCATAGGTAGAGAGGATAGAGAAAAGAGAGAAGCCTGCTAGGGCCTGTTTCCATGGTATACCCACACTGAGGGGGTTGGAAGAGGAAGAACAGCAGAGAAGTAGAAGAAAACTAGGGTAGACTTATGTCACAGGATTAAGGCCACAGGAGAATAATGGAGGGGAAGCACAGGATGCAGCCAGTTCACTGTGTACCAGACTATAAAAATATGAACCCCCAAAGTAATTCTTACGGTGTTAAACTCCTTAAAAGAAATTGACAATTGAAATATGTTCTGGTTTACATCCCCTGTCATTGTATGCACAAGAATGGTAGGAATATGTCTTTTGTATTGTTTTATAGTTGACATTTTTTTAGTGGTTGTTTAATAATAGCAGGAAGAACAATGCTCTAGTGATATTATTTTAGGCATTCTATTGTTGCTTTTGCTTACTCTAGCCCAAGAACTCAAAATACCAAATCTGCTTGAGACATTTTAATGAGGTCAATCCTTTTTTCAATTTCTGGAACAATTGTTATAACAAACACTGTATACTTCATCAAAACAAGAGTTGCAATGTATTCACTTCTTGATGCCCTACTGATTTCTGAAAGGATTTGTCTTAGAGATCACTTGTGAGTTCAATTTGTCTGCAAAATCTTTACCAGCCCTTAACTAGATAACTGAACATGTGAAGTTACCACCATCCTTACCAGTCCCAAGAAATTTGCCGACAGTCTTGTTAATGAATAATAGAGGGTTTTGTGAATTCCCTCATGTCCTTGCCCAAGTGAGTGTAGGTTTTCTGGGTCAGTTCCTAAAGGCACTCCCGCCTAGAATCAGTCACCCATGCTGCAAGTCTCCAAACATTCCAATGAACCTGCAGCCTCAGGAAAGGGAACACCACCAATCCCAGGGCCCTCCCTCAGAGCTAGGTGCTTCTTATCACAGTTCTCTCCGAGACCTTGCCCTCAATGTCCCTCTGCCCCTATGGGACAAAAGTTCAGCTACCAAGATTGCTGATAACAGAAACAATGACATCTTGGTATCTGAAATGAGAGAACTTTAGGGTCATCTTTTAAATGCAAAGACCCTTAGACTTGTAAAAGCACAGGCAGAATTATCCTATTCCTGTATGATGCCCCAAAATAGTACATATGAAAATAATATGCTGGGTTTATAGTTCCTACTTCTTCTTCAGATTAGAGGTAGGAAATCTTCCCAGAAGTTTCCCTGAGTTCCCCAAAGTTGGATTAGGTGCTCCTATGGCCCTTGGTCTACCTTGATTATAGCATTTACCAGTATAAGTTGTATTTGCCTATTTCTTTCTCAGTATTTCTCTCCAAACAGCGACTTTGCTGGGGGCAGAGAGTGGATCCCACTCACTGTTGCATGGCAGCATCTGGCAGAGTGCATGGCATGAAGAAGTGCTCAGGGCACATGTGTGGAATGAAGGAAAGAAAGGATGGATCTGCCAGGGAAACTGAGGCATGGAGCTAACGAGTCCTCCAAAATCATCTTCTTAATCAATGCAGACACAAAATTTAGGATCCTCTTATCCCTAAAGCACACTCTTCTGTGTATATGTGACTAACGCATACCACCAATCATTTCAGAAGAGTGCACTCTTACACACAGTTTATGTATATTACTTCTTCTGGTTGGTATTAGAGACGTTTCTCCTCACCCTGGTCCAGTTCTGTATGTAAAAGAGCATCAGGATTTTGATTCTATCTTCACCAATCTCACTGCCAAGATATTGGGCTCTCCCGTTGCTGTCATGAACAGCATAGATATTGGGACTAAATCAGAAGTCAGCCTTTTCATTCAAATTACATTTCTAGCAGAACGTGGTCCATACTTGCATGGACATTAAATCTCACTTCATTTGAGTTCTAAGTCATTGAGTCCCTCGAGTGGTGACTCATGGTCTGGAGATGCCAATGTCGCTAGGCAGGCATCATCACACTACAGGCAAAGTTCACATTTCTGATCCTAAGAAATAATTTGTTAAGGAGCGTCACATGGACCCATTGGAGGGAGCAATTTAGAGGCTTCCTTATGGAAGGAACCATTCATTCAGCTCAGTATAACTGCACTACTGAGACCACAGGGCACTCACACCATCATAACACTATGGGCACATTTTTGTCTCAGGCCGGCGCCCTGTTCCTCCCTTATTGCCTAAGAAAGAAAAGATACGGGTGGGAGTCATGGGTAGGTGTGGCAAAACTCACTGGCTTAGAAAGAAAATCCATCCATTAGTAAATGAACAGTGTAACCATAACAGACATGGTCAACCGTAAACTCAAACAGCATTTCATAAGAAACATAAATAACCACAGTTTGTGCCTAGCATCTAGTAAGTGAAGTTTGGGCATACAAATGCAGGTAAAGTGTGATTCAGATACTCCAAAGGAGCAGGAGCTCCAAGAATCATTTGTGTTGGCTTCTCAACTAGGATTTGATTGACTTGAAGCATCTTATCATTCAAAATGTATTTTTAAATGATATTTTGCTTGGATCAATACTGAAGTTATTTCAGCTTTTTGGTGTACCCAACAGCTGATTTTGGAAGGAGGTAAGTAAAACAATGTTCTTGATGACATGAAAAGACAAATTTTTTAATTAGCCAGATATTATTTTTGAATGGATTTTCTTGTACACCCATTAGTCATATGCATCTCTCTGGAATTTAGCCAGGAAAAATATAGTGTAATGATAATACGTGTTAAGTGGTGATCAGAGGGTGTCCACGTGCCAGATCTCTTAAAATACTATGTGACATGAGGGATAGAGCAGAGCTAGTGGACAGGAATGTACTTGGGCTTTAGAGAATAAAGGGAAGTAAAAAAACCCCAAGTCAACAGTAATGAGTTTGATTTCCCAGGTAGGAACAGGAGTTTCCTAAGTGAGTGGCTCATTCTTTCAAGTCCTGGATATTTGAAAAGTTAGCTCTTACAATTAGCTTTGCTCTGCTAATATTATCAATCAGAAAATCTAAGTCTAAACAGGGGTTCATATTTCCAAATAGAGAGCTTTCATTAGCTTGCCACCAGGTTTAGCAATCTCTCCTTGGAAGTATTAAATCTTTTGGTCACTCTTTCTACACCCAAATAAAGTGTTCTGGAGCCTCTTCTTTTGAAAGTATTTTGTCAACATCACTGGAGAGTGTTTAAATAACTGACTACAGACGCTGGCTGGACTAGGAAACACTCTGAAGTTAATTGTTGGTGTAATCATTAGTCCCTTCAATATCCAGTGAAGGCACTGCCAGCAAAGGAGTCCAATGCGCTATGATGACACATGTGCTCACATTAACAGTTTATTCTGGCATGTAACAGTTAATAATTTATATACAATAAAGTAGAATCAGTGAATATCATTCTTCCGGAAAACAATTTAAAAGAATGAACAAAAGAAACAAACAAAAAAACCTGAAGAGTAAGATTAGGATTTGAAACAGTAAAAGAATGAGAAATGTGGCAAGTAGCAAAATCATTTTTAAATGTTTGGCAGGGGAGTGGGGGGGAGACGATGCAAAATGTGTTTAGAAATCACATCTTCCTGGGGTTTTGTCTACAAGGCTTTGACACTGCGGAACAGCTGAGGTCTTTATTCTGTCTGAGGGGAAGGAAAAAAGGAAAGAACAACAGTACATCACGGGCAGTCCTGGGCTGGAAGCCTTTACTCCGGCTAACACAACTCCCAGCTCCTTTCCGGGCCAGCACATAGCCGGAGGAAATCAAAACTACTAGGATAACAATTTGTGCATAGAACAATGATATGGGGTTTAATTTTGGTTTCACACTCAAATATAAATGCGGTTATAATTTTTTAAATATATTAACAAAAGGCAACGAGTAGAGTATGGTAGCTTTTTAAAGCTACACTACAGAAAAGCCCCACTGCTGTTCTTGAGCGTGTATTAGAAAAATCGTGGGAAAGCAAGATACAGCTGTTTCCAGGCAAACGGCCCAGAACTGTTCAGCATCAACCAACAGTCTCCAAAGAACGACAGAAACACGCCCAAAGCGACTCAGGGCACATGTGTGGGGTTGCGAGCAGCGTGGGGCGCGAGTGTCCATCCCTCCCGCCCCCGACTCACCCAGGCACCCAAGGCAGGTGAAGACGGCCAGCCGCTCTGTGCGCCCCGCAGTGTGAGTTCAAATCCCACTAACTCCCGAGCATCCTCACCCATCACGGTGCGCACCAAGTTCTGCACACTTGCCCACGGCCCTGAGGAGTCCCATAACTCGCCCCTACCCAGCCCACAACAAAGAAAGCTCCCTAATGGATGCGCGATCTCAGCCCACAGGGATCACCAGCGAGGAACGACCTGAAGAGTACACCTGGCCAAGCGCGGCCCCGGAGGGGTGGGCGGAAGGCTCCGGCTAGGGACAAAGGGGCAGCGCGGGGCGCCCGGGGCGCAGGACCGGACGCCGGGTAGCCGGGCCGGCCGGGACTCACCTTCGCAGCGGCCCGGCTGCGCTCCTCGTGGAGCAGGAGGGCGGCAGGCAGCAGCAACAGCCAAACGCCGAGCGGGGGCCCCATGGTGGTGCGCCGGGGCGGCGGCGACCCGCGGTTGGTGGCGGGGGACGGTGGCCGGGCGCTCGAGTGCCGCGGCGGGCGGTTCACTCTCGGAGGGCCCGGGCGTTAGCGCAGCGCACAGTCCCGGGCGAGGCGGCTTGTAGCAGAGACCTGAGCGCCGCCAGGCGAGCTCCCCAATTTGTTGGCCCTGCCCCCTTCCCTCGGTGGCGCGCTCGCAGAGGGGAGGATTCTGCAACGCCTGTAAGAGGCAGCGGGAGCGCGCGGCCGGAGGACTGTGGCCGCCGCGCGCCTGGACGCTAGGGCTCTGCATTCCTCACCCATTCGCTGCCTCTGCTGGACCCTGCCTCCCTGCTCCCGCCGCCTGCGAGCCCCGAGGCCCGCGCCCCGGGGAGAACGGGGCAAAGGCGCTGCTGATGTGCCTCCGGCGGGCGCTTCTGAGGGTCGGAAGCCGGGCCTGAGGTGAGAGCAGCCCCGGGGAGAGACCCAGGCCGCGGGCACGAACTTGGGGCGCCCTGTGCAGGCTCTTAGGCGTGGGAGAGGGGATGGGGATCAAACGGCCGCGGCCAAGCAGCACCCACCAGGGCCTAGATGGGAAGGTTCCCTTTGCTTCTGTCTGGTGGTGGGGCGGCCCTCCGTCCCCCGCAAGGAGGTGTGGGCGCACTTCGCTTTCGGGCTTATTACAGACGGAGGCGGCAGCAGGGATGCCTCCCTCCCCAGTCCCTGCTAAGTCCGCTTTGTCTCTCCCCTTCCAGGCTAGGAGGGACCAACCGGATCCCCAAGTGGCTGGATTGAGAACATGGACAGAGACCAGTGCACGGCGTCTAGCCCTGCCCTGCGGCGGTAAGCAATTTTCTGCCGTGCCCCCGTGGGTCTCGCGCGCGGGGCTCTTTCGTGTAACTTTCAGGAATTGCCAAGCTGGGCCGCACGCTCATGGCGCTTTTCCTCCCTCTCCCCTCCAGGTGGCTACTGCTGGGGGCTGTGACTGTGGGGCTCCTGGCCCAAAGCGTCCTGGCGGTAAGTCCTGGCTCCCGTTCGTGGGCTTTGATTCGCGCGCCCGAGAGTGGTTGGGACACCTTGACAAAAGGCAGCTCGTGCGTGTTCACCTGAGCATGTGTGTATGTGCCTGTGTGTCCTCCTGCAGCCCCTATCCAGCCTAGGTTCTGAGAAAGCTCGCTTTCCCCCAGGAACTTAGGTTTGCATTGCCTTGGTTTCCCCACCGTCAATCCTGTGCCAATCCCGTGCGTTACTGGCTTAGGCCCTTCCACGGGAGCCAATAATTAAAAACATAGACTGCAGCATCCTTTTCCAAGGCGCAGGCAGAGCCCCAGCCTTAGAAGTGAGGGAAGACTGTCAGTCACGTGGCAATGAGGCGCCAGGATACAGGTTAGAGATGTTTTTGTAGAATTCAGAAGCTGGTGTCTAGGTACTTACTGCACAGCCCTTGGAAGAGTTTTCTTGCTCTTCTAAATAAGAGGCTGGGGGAAATGGGCGGGGCAAGGAGGAAAACACGACAGCGTTGTACTTGGTTTCAACATTGTGAGAGAGCAACGGCTGACAACGCGTTTTCTCCCAACAATTGTACTGCGCCTGGAAGAGCCATGATGGGAGCTGCGTTTGCTCTGTGCCGTCCCCCGACCCCAGAGCAGCCCTGCCATTTAAGGAGCTCTGTCAATACTGTCATTGCGCTCGTGATGGCAGTATGGGATTTTATAAATTGTGTTTAAATACTAGGAGCCACTTTTACCGCGCTTTATGGTAGTATGGCAAAACTGCCACAGGTTTGGTGGGTCTCTTCAGTGGAGGATACAAATGTTTAAACTAGAACTGAAAATCAAGGGAACATACTAGGTGTCCCAGACCCCACTCTGTACTCTGCCCTGAATAGGATTTCTGTAGCACCTGATTTCCCAGGTGACTCTTGCTGGAAATTCCCCCTTCCCTCGAGGGTTCCCACTCTGGGTAGAGTGCACACACAAGAAAAATGGGATGCTCTATTTGAGGTTTGATTTAAATTCTCTTATTTTCACATTGTTCTATCCTCACGTAAAACAAAGATTTTAAAGGCTGTGAGCGAGGAAGAACCACCCTAGCTTGGAAAAGAACCTTTAGCCTTACTTTTCTGCTGCCTTCTGCTCCAGTTCAGGGAGGGCCAAGGTTGGGATGTTAGAAAGGAGGCCGGAGACTTTGACTGGAACATTCCAGGCCGAAGTTTTCTTCAAGTTCAGGTCTGTCTTTTCCTTTGTACACATCCTACTGTAATAAGGACAGAACCTGGGTATTTGTCCCTTATGGGTCCTTATGCACATAGGACATATAGGACTTGGCCCAGAGTTACACACACACTCAAAGAAGGACAAGGTTCCTAGAAAGGAAAGCGCTGAATCCTGTTCAGCGCGTGTGCGTTGGCTGTTCTGTCTCCCACACCCATTTACCCTCTAGAGCCGCTTTTGTGATATCAGTGTTTTCCTTCCTGAGGAATGTATGAGTCCCGGGAATTTTACTTGGGACTGATCCTAAAGTCAGTGGAAAGGGCTTCATGTCAGAAGACCTGGGTCCTAATTGCAGCTCTACCCAGCCTCATAAACCTGGAGGCCCAGGTTTCCACACTTTGAACAGAGAATACCCACTGGCTTTTTACAGAGGTCAATGCCCTGCCACATGTATTACACCTCCCTGCCTTCCTCCAAAACCTCTTAGATGCTGTAAACTCACCTGAGTCTCTTTGCTCTCTGATCCTTGGATGGGACCAAGAGCATTTATTGCTTAGCAGTGCTTCTCAGAGTACAGTCCTTGGACCTCTACATTCACCTGGAAAGGCTGGTTAAAAATTCAGACCTCTGGCCTGCATTGTAGACCTTCTGATCAGACCTTCTGGGGTGTAGCCTGGGAGTCCACATTCCCATTTGATGCCAAAGTTTGGGAACCACGGAACTAGAGTATTGTGTTGAAGGGCAGTGGGAGTCACTTCCCAATTTATTTCATGTCCCTGGGCTTTAGATTCTAAATCTATAAATAAAAACAGATAAATACTTCTGAGTTATTTTACTAGAGACATATTAATATATATTATTCAATAGACATGCAATTTGTGATGCTCAACAATGGATCTTCTACTTACTAACTTATGACCACTGGTTTTAATAGCTGTTACTCATGAAATAATTCCTTGATCCTTAGATATAGTCATTAAAATAATCTTTTTTAAATTTTAAGTGGCAAGTTCTGCTCCTCCCCTATTTGTATATCATGCTCAAGAACCCTGTCTCATTGCCTGTTTGTATCAAAGACTCTTCCCAGGGCTAGATCAATTTAGTAAAAATAGCTGCTCATTGTTGCTTGAAAGTTTTAGAGCAGAAGCAGCTACAAGTGGTTAATGAAGAGAATAGATAATTATTTAATGACTACTTCCGATATGTCAATTTGTGTCTTAATATCTTCTGAGCCTCATAGGAAAACACACATATGATAGAGGCAAATATTATTATCACCCCCATTTTACAGATAGGAAAACAGAGGCACAAAGAGTTTAAGCCAGTTGCCCAAGGTCTCTCTCTGTAAGTGGCGGTTGTGGGATTTTAACCTAGGCATTTGCCTACTGCATTAAGCTTCCCAGGATCAGACTGTAAGTCAGTAATGAGGGTGCTCCTGAGTGTCTGTGTTTGAGTCTCCTGGTTGTGCTTTCTCCTTGATCTTAAGCGTGACTAACAGAGTAAAGCCTACTCCTCCTCCTCTGCTGCTTTGCTCTAAAGAGCAAGGGTCCAGAGCAAGAGAGAAGCAGTAGGACCAGTTCTCCAAAAGGAGAAAAATAAGCAGAAATATCACTGGGCAGCCTGGGCTCAGGACCCAACATAGACACATGTGCTCTGCGTGTGCAGCCATGGGCAGCACTCACTGTTGTTCAGGTTGCCTTTCCTAAAGGTGCCCTGCCCTGAAAGCAATGCCAAGGTGCCGAGCACATGTGCAGAGGGTCCGCCCTAAAAGGCAGTGCAGCATGAAGATTATTACTGCACACTCGGAAGGTAGGCTGCCTGGGGACCATTCCCAATTCAGCAGCTGATGAGCTGCTGCCTACCCGTGGTGCTTACCCAACCCCTGTGTCCTGGTTACCCACTCTCCTGCAATGGGGATGTTACCAATGGTATCCACCTCTAGGGCCAGGGGCTATTAGATGAGTGGATGTGCGTGAAACAGAGCAAGGCTCAAGGTGTCTGTTTGGCCTGTGTCAGGGAAGGTTCCCGCATCAGCCGGCCATGTTCCCAGTCTTAAAGGAGACTTAAAAGCGCTCATCGCAGCCCATGCTGAGCATTGTTACTTATCTTAAGAGATAGGGCAGCAGTCTTAAAGATCTAAGAGACCAGTCCTGTGTGATCCCGGGAGAAAGAGAATTCCAGAGAACAAAGACCTTCCATCCCTGAGATTAAATATGCTGGGGGCTGGGCTGACCTCATGACCTCAGCTGGGGACACAAGTTGCACACTTTAGATTCTAGATATCAGGGTGCAGCCCTGTACACCCCAGGAAATGCTGGCCTCCAGACTGCCTTCAGCACCAGCTTCAGTTTCCAGGGCCCCATGCCCTGGAAAATTCTCTTGCTGTGCCTGCAGGTTGCCACATTATTCCGCCCTCCCCCTAAAAGGAAAAAGAAACAACAGCAGCAACAAGGTATTCTAAAGTTTTTCTCTTCTCCTTTCAATCAGCTTATTGATAATTGATGAAAAATGTGTAGTGCTAAGATGCTCCCGATGCTGTATTTAAGAATCACAGAGAACAGTTCTTTCCCAGAATTCCCTAGAACGTTAGTCCTATTGTTCAAAACCTGGACCCCTAAGAAGAAGGGAAATAGCACAAGGTTCCTCCTCTGTTAATGGAAAAACAAGCATGTCTCCAGCTCTCTGTAGGTGATTAAAGCAACCCTCCCTGATGGCTTGTATGAGTTGGCTGCAGTAAATAACACCAGGGACTTGTCAGAGCACCCCAGAACTAGACGAAGGTACGGAGGGTGAATGTGGGGAACACAGCTCTCACACTACCAGTGGGTGTATTTAGAACCAGAGAGAGAGAAAGAAAAAAGTGAAATTCAAGTACAAAGCTCTAGAATAGAAAAAGATTTTGCTAGCATAATAAAAATCAAAGGATTGTCTGTCTTTCAGGAGAGAGGATTTTTTTAAAAAAATGGGTGGCCAGCTTCAAGTAAATCATAGAGAAAAATTGAGGGCAAAATGAAAGGGCAATGACTTTTCAATATTATGTTGATAATGAAGATGTCATTCTATAGAAGGAGGTTTTGGAATGTCGTGTTCTTTTCATCTGAGAAGGGATATTTATCTTTGATTAGAGGAATTCAGAGAAAGCGCTGAAATTGGTTTCTTGCTGTATCTGCTGGTGACAGTTGTTGGTCTTATCACCACCCCCGAAGGTGGTAGGTAAAGTCTGCAACCCCGGCCTTGGCTGATTCAGCTTGAAAACCAGGCAATCTATGCCGTAGCTGGTGGCTTCCTGGGCCAGTGACTACCTCACCCCTGCCTGCCTACTCATTGGCTGTTTGACCCCAGCCAAGTGGCAAGTCACTTAATTGCTTTGGCCCTGGGCATGAGGGAGGGCTGAAGCAGAGCTGTTGTGTGGTTTCAGTGCTCCAGGCTGTCAAGCGCCCCAGGTGAGCTGGAGAGTCACAGCTGAGGACAGAGCACTCACACCTGCCACAGGCCCTTCCGTGAGCTCAGGCGGTGGTGATCAACTGGGTCTCCCTCTTCCCAGCTGTGATATTGGGACTAGGAATGCTTTTGCAGGAAAGCGATTAGGCCGCTCCAGGATATGACTTAAAAATAACTATGCTGCATCAGGCTTTTTATCTTCAGGGTGTGAGAAGTTTCTGGAATTCAGTGAATGGTACTTAATCAGCTGAGATGAGCGAACGGGCAGGTTATTTCGTGGATACCTATTGCCACTCCTCCCGTATTTACTCTCTCAGTTAATGAGACTGTCCTGGGACAGATGAAGGCCTGAATGACTCACCA